CTGAAGATGCAGGAGATTACTACTGTCAGAGTTTCCACTATCCCAATAGTAAAGATGTGTTCACACAGTGATACAGAGCCGTACAAAAACCTCCCTCAGTCAGACTGCACAGTGACTGTACTGCTACAGCTGGGACCTACTGCAGGTGCTGAGGGGAGGAGATGATCCAGTACAATGACACAGTGTGTAGTAGAGCTGAACAACAATAGAGTCAAACTAGAGCTATGTCTAGAAGACCTTAGATCATAACTGATCACTAAATGTTTCTCCTGACCATTAACTACATGTTGACTCTGTTGAGTAACTCAAAGAAAACCATCAACCAATCTGAATAGAGATGATGTGCAATGATCAAAACCCCTAAAGATGACCTGTGTTTTGAATAGCTAGAATTTAATCAACATGATTCAAACACATACAATAAAGCCCCTAAACATTACCCATACATCCTCCCTCACACCACTGTGGTAGTTCCAGAGAGCAGCAGGTGAAGCAGGAGACTGGAGACGTCAGAGGTCTGGAGATCTCCCGCTAAAAGCAGTCAGTCATCAGCATCTGTCCACACATGGACTGCAGTTACTGACTCTGACCATTGGAGTGAGACAGAAAGCAGATACTATCTGGTCTAATAACACAGTAATAACAATATGCTCCACTTGTAGATGTCTAAAGTCATTATATCAGTCCCCATTCAGCACTTGTATCAAAACCCATGTCAGTGATTAAGTAACTATCATGTTTCTACATCACATCAGTCTGACTGTCCAGGAAGACTATTTACATATAGGACACTTTGCATAGACAGCACATGCTTCAGTGGTCTGGGAGTGTTTATAGCCCTGTGAGTTTAACACTTCATGACTGAGAGCTGTCCTTCATGACAACAGAACCCACAACAACCATGACTTTTATCACCATCTTCATCTGGACACTTGCCCTCTGTCTCCAAGGTAATATATTTTACTGAAAATTAACCAAACCATTGCAATAGTAGGCTATATAACCTTATTACAGTTTAAGTTAATATGCTATATGGACATATGAATGAACAATTTAATGCTAATGATACATGCCATCTCTGTTTCAGAGTCCAGAGGCCAGGTCACTGTGACTCAGACTCCTGCAGTGGTAACTGTTTCAGTGGGTCACTCAGTCAGTCTCAGCTGTAAGACCAGCAGTGCTGTATACAGTAACAGCAATGGACAGTGGTTGGCCTGGTATCAACAGAAACCTGGAGGAGCTCCTAAACCCCTAATATACTGGGCTAAAACTCTTCAGTCTGGGACTCCATCTAGATTCAGTGGCAGTGGATCTGGGAGTGACTTCACTCTGACCATCAGTGGAGTCCAGGCTGAAGATGCAGGAGATTACTACTGTCAGAGTGCACACCTTGTAAGTGCCTGGATGTTCACACAGTGATACAGAGTCGTACAAAAACCTCCCTCAGTCAGACTGCACAGTGACTGTACTGCTACAGCTGGGACCTACTGCAGGTGCTGAGGGGGAAGAGACAGTGACATGGAACACTGATCAGTAGAGGAGGTCAACTGTGACAATATTGTCATGATGACAAATACTGTATGTAGAACTTTTCCCCCAAAGTATTTTGTTATTTGCATATACTTATTTCGCCCATCCCCTCCCCACAATAGCCAAACCAGTCTAGTTCCTCAAAACTGACCAAGTATCGTTACTGTATCTGACCACTAGAGGGAAGCCCAAAATAGCTGGTGCATCTCATGTTATAACTCAGTAATATTAACTTTGGTAGGTTACAGACAGCAGTTTTTTAAAAGAGTTGTCAGAGTGGTCTTCAAGCTAAAACAAACATGGAGAGAATATACACTATTGAAAAATACACCCTGCACCCTGACAAGTACTAGAGTCTTCTAGAGACAATTCACCCCAATGGTGGAACAAGCTCCCTCACGACACTAGGACAGCGGAGTCAATCACCACCTTCCGGAGACACTTGAAACCCCACCTCTTTAAGGAATACCTGGGATAGGATGAAGTAAACCCCCCCCCCCCCCTTTACCCCACCCCAAAGAAATAAAATAAAATTAAAATAAACATATTGTTAAGTGGTTATCCCACTGGCTATAAGGTGAATGCACCAATTTGTAAGTCGCTCTGGATAAGAGTGTCTGCTAAATGACGTAAATGTAAATGTACCTCATATATAGACATGGGCAGTTTTAATACATTTACATTTACATTTTAGTCATTTAGCAGACGCTCTTATCCAGAGCGACTTACAGTTAGTGAAATTTTTTTTTTTTTCTTATACTGGCCCCCCGTGGGAAAAAAGTATAGTATATAAAACCGTACTGCATTGTGTGGTCATGTTAAACAGTTAGTTTAGCCAAAGTGCATGTAACTGTTTATTTTTACCTTTATTTTGAAAGGGAGTCATGCTGAGACCAAGGTCTCTTTTACAGATTAGCCCTATATACACTTCAATACACATCCATTTCTATATTTATTTAATTTTGCTCTTCTGCTTGCTTGTCTTTACCCTTGTGGCAGGATTAGACCTTCCTTCCTACCACCATAAAGGGTATCCCATCCAAGGGCATGTATAAGCTCCCACATGATCGGTGTCCTTTATCATTACATACCATCCTGCCTGCCTGCATGGATAGCCAGCGAACCAGCCTCAAACTAGTACAGTACATAGTCAGACCTAAGATCCTGTATCTCTGGTCAGACTTAGCTCTAACCACATTCTCCGTCAGGGGGCGCTAACGTTCTGTTTTTGTCAGGGGACACAACAGAAACGGAAAGTTAGCGCCCCCTGACAGTAAATTCGGCTACCTATCGACCAAAAGTTGTATCATTAGTTGAAACGACGAATTTGGTCATCGTCTCCTCCTCAAACTTTTTTCACATTCACCTCAAACACTTTAATTGAAGGGAAAGTGCAAGTGGCCTTGGTTTTCTTGAGCAGTCATGTTTGCGACTAGGGTTCTTGGGTATGATGATTCTACGTCCCTTCCGTCCATAGCTGTACTCGAACTTCTAGCCACAGATAGAACAATGAGACAGATATTTCACCGGATGTATAAATGTGAAGCATCCGCTTGTCGTTTCCACTCACTACCAAATATGGTAGTGAGAAGAAGCCCAGTGGACGGCAGTTGGAGAAGATGGAACGAGATAGATTTTGGCAGAAATTCTGCAAATTTTCTCATCAATGAAACATTTGATCTCAATACAGTTTTCTGTTCCCAAAACTATAATATGTTACGAACAGAGTGGACTAAACATTCTAGACTTTACCCTTTGCCAAATTTTCAAAAACTTGCGTTGTTTAGAAGGAGTGACAAATCAAATGTAGTTATTACACACGCACATCACAGAGAAGGCGTTCCCTAACGGAAATATGCAAGAACGCGCCAATATGATCTTGCTAGTTCGTGCTTGGCTCTGCCCACCTCCTTGCTTGTTCTTCCCACTATGACTAATTTCTTCCCATTGGAAACGACAGGCTATGGTCTGTCTGTAGTTATTTCATAAAACATTTTATTTGATCTAGCCACAACACGGGAGACTTTTATTTTGAAGACTCATTATTTGTGGTCACACAAAAAATAAATAAACGTTACATGTCTCCAACTTAGCTACCTAACGTTAACATACCGTCGTAGCAGCAGCAGCAGCTTGTTTTGATGGCGATATGGATTCAAAAACTCAAGGTTTGTCTCTGGCGTTTATAAGTCATGTTTACCTAAAATGCTTCACCCAAAATCTATTTATGTTCAAGCTTAGAGGAGGAATATGCGGGGCAGTATGTAAAACAATATTTGGTTCAATTCACATAGCTAGTGACTAGCAGCTAGGCATTCAGTAACTGGGTAAAACCCATAGTGGAGTCAACACCTGTATGACCGTGTTGTGGCATAAAAGGTCTGCGATTGCTTCAGGGCATTTCCATCGAAATGGAGACATGAGCACCAACATGTTAAGTTAATAGGACCATATCAGTTTGAGTGTCAAATGAAACCTCAGAGTCTATATTTCTGGGAAATGAAGGCATGATAGATACATTTTTCAACCTTTTTCTATCTTCAAAATGAGTCATAAGTAAAGGCTTTGATTTCTGGATAAACTGATGGAATCTTAAACATCTAGCCTACCAGGAAAGTATTAGAAAAATACATTTACATTTTAGTCATTTAGCAGACGCTCTTATCCAGAGCGATTTACAGTTAGTGAGTGCCTACATTATTTTTTTTATATTTCATACTGGCCCCCCGTGGGAAATACATCAAAACACAATAATGTTGACGTAAAGACCCCTGCCAACTAATATCAACACTAATGTTTAGTTTTGAAGAAATGGTTTACCTTCTGTAAGTTTAAGAAATATTGCCTTGTAATTCCGTTACCAAAAACCCACATATTTAAGATATTTTTTCATTTACAGTGGGGGGAAAAAGTATTTAGTCAACCACCAATTGTGCAAGTTCTCCCACTTAAAAAGATGAGAGAGGCCTGTAATTTTCATCATAGGTACACGTCAACTATGACAGACAAATTGAAAAAAATTATCCAGAAAATCACATTGTAGGATTTTTAATGAATTTATTTGCAAATTATGGTGGAAAATAAGTATTTGGTCACCTACAAACAAGGAAGATTTCTGGCTCTCACAGACCTGTAACTTCTTCTTTAAGAGGCTCCTCTGTCCTCCACTCGTTACCTGCCTCCACCCCAATGGACATTTATTTATTCATCACTGCTACAGTTGTTATGATGTATATAGTGCTATTTCCATTTTTGCTTTATTTATATATTTTTTCATTATTGTATTTCACTTAGTCCTGCATGTTGGCGCTCGGAGACTAAGATTTTCACTGAACCCTACAATCAGACCTGCAACCCTGTACATGTGACTATTAAACACTGAATCTGAATCTCTAATGAATCAATTATTGCATATTAAAGTGCGCCTGCTGTTTCAGCTGGTTCTTGAGTTGTGCTGTGGTGAAGACGACATGGTGGACCATCAAACCATCCAACCCCACTTGGACAGAATCCAGTCATGCACAGTAAAGCACAAAGCAGTAAGTTATGCGCAATACACCACACACTGTGGATTGTTAAATCTCTGTTATAAAATGTACTTTTATTAATTTGAGTTCTTAACATACTTTTTGGGGGTGTAATTACATGTTCAGAGCAAAAACAAGAAAGTGGAGGCATCAATGTCTAACTTTGTGGAGCTGGTCCAAACTCTGCTTGAAGACCCAGCGAAGAGGGAACACTTTTTTCAGGTGAGATAATATCAAACATTTTACTTTTCGCAGTTGGGTAGTTCTGTGTAATAATCAAGCAAAAGTGTTGGATATGCCTAAAGAGCAAGCAGGCTGGCATGCACCTGAAATTGAATGTAATGCTGTGATGATGTCAAGTTGGGTACTGTGACAAAAATCAAGAATATTAGTGCAAATGGATAAAACAAGTATTTTATTGATAACAAGTGTTATAGGCAAGACCATTCACCTCACTGTGTAATGGCTCTCTACATTTTCATTAAAGGAGGAGTTCCCAGTGTAGTACGGCACTAAGTATGACACAGCACTGCAGATTCTGCAGTGGGAGTTCTTCTCCAGACTGAAGGAGCTGCTGCCAGTGCCCAGCTTTACACAGGTACTGATATGAATACATCTTCATCCTATCCATTCAAATGTGAAAAAATTGTGGTTACAGTTGTGAATGAATGAACCCCCTTTAATAAATGAATCAATGGACTGAACATCAACACGTGTCCAGTGGGTAGGAGCTAGGGGTTGATTTGGGATTGGACTGCACTCTCCTTTTTAACTTTAAGTTTGCCTCTCTCACCCTCAGACAGCATCTTGTCTCAGCCTTGCCTTCTCTGACCTGGAGGAGTGTGTTCAGTCTGTCTCTGACCCTGAGCACCTGGAGACACTGCTACAGCATCAAAGACAACTGGGACACCTAAACAGAAGTAGGTAGCCTTCAGGTTATCTGTTTCCGCTGGGGTAAATACTTCGATTTCTATTGCATTTTCCACCAATGAAATGTGCCTTGATTTGCTAAAGATGTCTTCACCTTCAATGTTGCACAAGCTGTCAAAGGATTCACCTCCAAGGAATTAGTAAATAAAATTGGTTTGCATTCTCCCTCTTTCCCAGATCATTTGTTCTACGACTCTGACACCATCCTGTCCACTCTGTCCCTCACTTCCTTGGTAAACTTTAAACAAACTTCAATGGAGGATCGAGGTCGTGACACTAGGAAGAAAGAACAGGAGGGTGGAGAAGAGTGGCGACCAAAAATCAGTTACGATGAAACCAATAAGGAAACTGATGAGTGCGCTGAACGACTTGAAGAGGCTGGTGAACCCAGTTCTGGACAGCAGAAACCAGGATCATCATTACAGGCTCGTCCAGTGGCCGTCGACGGTAAGGACATTTGGAGCAGAGTACATTACATACGTCTGTGGACTATTCATGGTGATTGCCAAACTGTGTTATTGGTAAGTGGTTGTTATTACTGTTTAGAACAATATTAAGTTAAGCTACAGTACTTTTTCCATTAGACTAGTCAGGCTACTTTTAGCTACTGTTTCCATTGTGGCTATAGCTACTCCACCACCAGTGCTTTATTGGAGCCGGATCCTGCCAGAACAGGAACCTGTTTTCCCTGTTTCCCTATCTCCCTCTCTCTGCTATGATAGACATACGCCTGCAACTCTCTCCAGCATTGCACTGCATCATGTATTTAAAAATGATCTAATATGCCCATTCGTTAAAAAATGTTCTCTTATAGAATTCTATTGTTATGGTTAGATATGCAACATTATTTGCGGTTGCGTTTATGACACGTTTTGACGTTGGCCTGGCTTCCTGAATGTTGGCCTAGAGCGGCGGGAGTTTGAAAAAGATAGACAGTAGCCCACTTAAGCCACAAAATCGAAAACCAACTGAAATCTGTTTGGGAACATCGATAGTAAATTGTTTTCACAACAAAACTCATTTCATTAAACTGTTGAGAGCCCCTCGCTCGAGAAAGGAATAAAGGAGAGAGGAAGGAGGCGATGGAAACGCCTGGTAACGTGTCATAGGCCCTTTTTTATTACTATTCAAAATCAAATACAAATCCACTATAATTGTAGCCTAACTCTGTAGGCACAATTAATGAACCATCAGCATCGCAGGCCTACATGTATTTTTTATTTTTTATAATTTAATATTTTTGGGGTCTCATTTTGATCATCACCATAGAGAGCGCTGTCCATTTCAGCACCATTGATAGTAGCCTATTGGCTACCCGTTTGATTTGTCCACTACGCTGCAGAATTGTGTTGGTTGCTTTTTTTCTAATGCAGGTCACCCCCACCTTTTGCTCTCAATTTTGTTCCAGCATCTTGCGATTTTACAAATAGAGCACTGTCCACCACTTGTTCTACTTGGGGGTCCCGTTCGTAAAAAGGTATTTTAAATTGGACCTCATTAGACAGAAAAAGGCACATTTCCAGCTCGTTCGAAAACTGGTCTCTGAAATTAGCACATCTCAATGCACTCTAGCAAAAGTTAAGCCTGTTTTTTTATTTTGAAACATTGTTACCCTAAAGCCAAGGATTTAATGGTTAAATTAACTAAGAAATTAATTCATATGACATGGATTCATTTTTAGCTCAAATTCTAGGTAACCAATGGGCAACTAAGATTCCAGATTGTAGATTTTAACAAGTTACACAATTCAGTATTTCATAATGTATTCCCTTCAGACCTGGGTTAAAATACTATTTAACATCTTTCAAATATGTTTAGCATTTTCTTTAGCCTGCCTGGAGTGCCAGATAGGCGGGATTTGCATTTATGTGACTACTCTATTTAAATTTTTTAAATTTTTACCATTTAGCAGACGCTCTTATCCAGAGCGACTTACAGTTAGTGAGTGCATACATTTTCATACTGGCCCCCCGTGGGAATCGAACCCACAACCCTGGCGTTGCAAGCACCATGCTCTACCAACTGAGCTACACGGGACTATATTGGTTCCATTGTGAAATTATTTCATTTTAGTAGGCTATTTGAAGTTGAACCGAGGTCTGCTTCTATAACTGGTGGGTCAGTTGTTACTGTTGCTACCACAATTGCTAGAACCCTTCATGTTTCAAAATGTTACTACCACATTGTTGGGAAGTTCATGTGATGTAACGATGAGTGGACCTCCTAGAAAAACCTATCTGCTTGAGCTTCTCTTTGTTGAGTTCTATCGGGGTGTGTTTATTATGGATGTGTTGACCGTGGTCTGGCCACTGCATGCTGAAATACCTGTTATAATTGTGTCAGTCACCAGCTGAAATGTCACACAAACGGGAGGACAAGTGAACCATTTGGGAAGATGCAGTGTAATCAGTCACCGCAATAGTTTTGGAGTACGTTTACATTTGCTATCTTACATAGCCAGGGTTATGACAGTTGTTTGACAATATACTGTAACAGTTGACCGTGGTCCAGGGCCGGCTTGCCCTATATGCGGACCACGCACTACGCGTAGGGACCCTTACCGCTAGGGGGCCCCAGACTTAAAAAAGGAGGAAAACACTGTTGAGAGTTTGAATAGTAGAATTCCTGCAAAATTATTCCATGCTTTCTTCATCCTCTATAGGACAGAAGGCCACAATCCAACATGGATGACCAATATTCAGTATATCTTCTATTGCCTGTTCAGCTGAAGCACCATACTTTACATATTGTACATGTAGCTGTAACGGATATGAGTCGGGCTCATGGAGCGTGATGAGGTAGGCCTGTCTCACCCTCGGCCCTAGAGAGAGTATCCTCTGGGTCTCACAGTCAAGGTGTTGATTTCTCCTATGGGAGACTCTGGTTCAGATCCCGCCGTGACAATAGCCGTACTGATTTTACCTCCCTGTAAAATCAACATGCCCTCCCTGGTGTTCTCCTGTCCCCAGTGCCCATTCTCCCACAGGAGAGAGGTGAACCTTCACCAGCACATCAGGAAGGAACATCTAACAGAGGAGGACAGCAGGAACCTGGACTCTGGAGGAGCTGAGAACTCACTGCCATCCAGTGAAACAGTAAAGAGCCCCTCAATCAAGACAACCAAGAAGTACATCTGCTTTAAATGTGGGAAGGGTTTCAGAAGCCCATCGGGCCTGAAACGACATAAGGGTGTTCACACAGACATGCAGCCGTTCCATCGCAACCAGTGTGAGAAAAGATGAAAATCGAACGCTAGTCTAAAACGGCACCAACGAGTTCACACAGGAAAAAGGTCTTATGTTTGCTTACATTGTGGCAGGGGGTTTAGAAAATCACAGATTTTAAAATTAAATTTACGCATTCATATAGTGCGCTTGGCACAATCCTACTTGGGGTGTGTCCTCAAGGAAAAGTAAATATACAAATTGACAAAAAGAAAGCTAAACAGCACATAGGACTTTTGAAAACAATAGTGATTTCTTTGGGATTTTGATGGCAGGAAATATGCTAAAGCATTCTGAACAGATTGGTGAATGGTTCAATGTGTGAATTAGGATTTATTATTCTAGGAGTTATCAAGGTAGTGGTTAGAGGAGGGGATGTCTGGCAAACCCATTTTGCCTTGGGAATGTCTTCAATAAAGACTCCAAATTCGTTAATGGGATAATTTTACAAATATGTAACCCAATCTTAATGATTTTAAAACACTGATTAGATACTGAACAAAAATATAAACGCAATAATTTCATTGATTTTACTGAATTACAGTTCATATGAGGAAATCAGTCAATTGAAATAAATGTATTAGGCCCTAATCTATGGATTTCACATGACTGGGAATACAGATATGCATCTGTTGGTCACAGATACCTTTTTTTTTTTAATGGGCCTCACAATGGGCTGCAGGATCTCGACAAGGTATTTTGTGCATTCAAATTGCCATAGATAAAATGCAATTGTGTTCATTGTCCGTAGCTTATGCCTGACCATACCATAACCCCACCGCCACCATGGGGCACTCTGTTCACAACGCTGACATCAGCAAACCGCTCGCCCACACGACGCCATACACATGGTCTGCGGTTGTGAGGCCGGTTGGACATACTTCCAAATTCTCTGAAACAACTTTGGAGGTGGCTTATGGTAGAGAAATTAACATTCAATTCTCTGGCAACAGCTCTGGTGGACATTCCTGCAGTCAGCATGCCAATTGCACGCTCCCTCAAAACTTGAGACATCTGAGGCATTGTGTTGTGTGACAAAAAAGTGGCCTTTTATTGTCCCCCAGCACAAGGTTCAACTGTGTAATGATCATGCTGTTTAATCAGCTTCTTGATATGCCACACCTATCAGGTGGATGGATTATCTTGGCAAATGAGAAATGCTCACTAACAGGGATGTAAACAAATTTGTGCACAAAATTTGAGATAGACTTTTAGTGCGTATGGAACATTTCTGTGATCTTTTATTTTAGCTCATGAAACATGAGACCAAAATTGTACATGTTGCATTTATATTTTTGTTCAGTGTACTTCCATGTGCTTTTTACCTGCAGAACCGGCTAGTGACATGCCCTCCCAGGTCTTCTCCTGCCCCCAGTGCCCATTCTCCCACAGGAGAGAGGTGAACCTTCAGCAGCACATCAGGAAGGAACATCTAACAGAGGAGGACAGCAGGAGCCTGGACTCTGGAGGAGCTGAGAACTCACTGCCATCCAGTGAAACAGTACAGAGACCCTCAATCAAGACAACCAAGAAGTACATCTGCTTTAAATGTGGGTAGGGTTTCAGAAGCCCATCGGGCCTGAAACGACATAAGGGTGTTCACACAGACATGCAGCCGTTCCATCGCAACCAGTGTGAGAAAATATTCAAATCGAACGCTAGTCTAAAACGGCACCAACGAGTTCACACAGGAGAAAGGCCTTATGTTTGCTCACATTGTGGCAGGGGGTTTAGGACATCTGATATCTTAAAATCACATTTACGCATTCATACTGGGGAGCGACCCAGTGTACAATATGTGGGAAGAGATTTATTCAACAGCATTTACTAACAAGACACATCAGGATGCACAGTGGAGAGAAACCATACTTGTGTAGCATTTGTGGAAAGACCTTCCCTTGCTCAGGGGAACTGATTGTACACACAAGGATCCACACAGGGGAACGACCGTATCATTGTGAACAATGTGGGAACACTTTTAGTCTAGCAAGTAAACTGAAAGTGCATCAGCGAAGTCATACAGGCGAACGCCCATACCCCTGTACACAGTGCCCCAAAGGCTTCTCCACCTCCTACAGACTAGTGAAACGCATGCGAACTCATACTGGGGAGAAACCTTACCCATGTGTAAAGTGTGGTAAAAGATTCTCTGAAAGGGGAAACATGAGAATACATCAACGAATGCATGAAAAAGAGAGAAAAGGTAGACAAATGTATAGATAAACCAACACTAAGTTGTTGAAATGTTCTTTTGAGATTCTGCTCTATATAGTTCTCTGTGCTACATTTTCAGGTGATTATGACATGTTTGTTGATCTTCTAATTTGTCATAATACCAGGTGATGTAACTTACTTCAGAGATGATTGGCAAAATGTGTGTTCTAAATATTGTAATCATTCTGTAAAATTAAAAAGTTATGTCTGGTTATATGCGAACAGATTTGATTGCTAACCAGTTGGAAAACTAACAATGGGCAAAAACACTTATAAACCACATTTCTAGTATAGCAGGACATCTTAAACAATACCCTCAAATGAAAAGTGACATTCTGTACTTTTGCCTCATATTTATAGTTTGATCTCAAATCCAATTGGGATATACTGTATTGGACTCTTCTTTTTTTCTTCTTTTTTTTTTTTACACACCTGACACCACCTTGTATCTGTTGTGTTGTTTCCTATAGACCAGACATTTCCCCTGCTCTCATTGTGAAAAACGCTTCATAAAAAAAAAATCCCTTAGACGACTCATGCTTATTCATACTGGAGAGAAACCTCATCCGTGTCTATGTAGGAAGGGGTTTAATTTGAGAATCAATTAAAAAAACCTCATAGGCCATAGTTCAGGTAGTTGTCTTGTTCGAACACAACATTTATTCAAATATGTTTATTTTCAGACTCTGTTTGACTCTCGAAGCCTTTTTTAAGTTCTTGGTTGTTTTTTATTTAAATATGGGCTCAACCCCAATGTATTTATTTTTTTACTTTGATGTGTCCATTGATGAAAACCCTGGCCTGGAGAAATGGACCATGCAATCCCCGGATCCTTGCGACGTCCCAACTCTGACATTACCCCATTGAAGTTGACATTTTAAATGGTTAAGGTAAGGGTTAAGGTTAGAGTTAGGTAGGGGTTATGGTTAGGGTAGGGGTTTGGGTTAGGGTTTAGGGTAGGGACGTTCCAAATATATGTGATAGCACTTACCCTGGAGAAATGTGTATGTGAAGGTAGATATTTGTATGAAGGAGTCTATTTTAACTTTCATAGTTAGACATTTGAACATTCTAGATAGCTTAGTGCCACTGGATAGTTCTATCAATATGCTTGTGTCAACTACCAGGGATACTCACACGCTCTTCCTAAAGGTGTTGTGTCAGTACATGTGAAATAGCCTTCAGGATGGGGAATTGGAATTCGAAATAAAGGAAACTGAATGGAATTCAGTGAAATTCCAACGCTTCATTCATGTTACACATCACCAACAATACTTATGTTGATGCCAATTATCTATTGTAACAACTTTCTAAATACTTCAATACATTTCATTTTCAAAACATACTGTAGCACCCTGTTGCCTGTTACTGTTGCCCACCCAGGACTCGAACCCAGGTCCAGCGGATCCAAACCTCTAGACAAGGTCGCTAAGTGTTGGTTCAAGGTCGCTACATTACCTCCTTCCTTCGGGAGAGTGTGTCCCCACGCTTCTATATACCATGTTCCTCATGTGTGCACACCTCTCTGATGGCATCACTGGCACTATCCCACTTCTGACACCAATGTAGCGAATTCGGGAGGGTAGCCCCGACCGGGACTCGGACCCGGGTCCAGCGACTGTCAATTATTATTTTATTTTTTTGCAGTAGTCTTAATCGAATCTGGGTGGCTTGATCCAAAGGCAAACAATACTCATGTTGTTTTAACCCAGGTCTGATTCATGTTCTGGTCTCTCAGACATGCCAAATCGACCCCTAAACACTATGCACTTGTGGAGATCTGAGAGGATTTAGCTCCACCTTGCCTTCTGATAGGCTAGGTGGAAGTTTCACCATACTGTGTATACCAATCAACTCCTGTCAGATCTTCACACGTGCATAGGGAGTAGTACTTGGGGTTCGATTTGGGATTGGTCCATAGCTCTCAGAAAATGACTTTTATTCTGATGAGTTGAAACCTGTTCCAGGTGCACACAGATCACCGGGTGCACCACTCTTCAGAAGTTGGAGCATATCCGCCGGACGGTGGTGTGTGGCCACTGCTCATACTCTCAAAATGTCGACGGCCGGAGAAGACACGTTTCCGAGGTGAGCAGGATGATTATGAGTTGGAGTTACGTTGGGATGCCACCAGGCCGCAAGCACAGTCGGGAGAAGAGGAATATTGGGACGGACACAGAAAGAAGGATTGCTGAGGAGGAATGGAGGAGAGGAAATAGGAAGAAGAGGTCGAAGAGAATGAGGAAAGCAGAGGTTGGATTAGAATTTGAGGAAGATGGCGATAAAAATGGAGATGGAGTGTCGAAGAAGATTGGTGTCAAGTGCAAACAGAGTGAGCCGTGCGCCAGACCGAGTTCTGGAGGTGGAATGGAAGTGAATGAGGGCGAGTTAAATGAGGTGGAAGGTGTGATGAAGAGCTCAGAACCCAAGCCTGGCATCAATGGACATGATAAAGAAGTAGGAGTGACATTTTTAGAGAAAGTGGATCCTTGCCTTTTGCCAGATCCATGTGTGGTTTCAGGGTGGGTGGGAAAGGAGTTGGGTGCAGTTGAATCAGTGTAGGTAACCTGTAGTGGACATATGATATTTGTGTTTTTTCTGACCAGAGGGAGCGGGCACTCCGTGTCACGTAACTTGGGTCAAGATCTGTTTCTTGCTTTGCTCTTAGGAACAGGGCATCATTGAAAGGAATGATTTCTAGGGTAGCGTTGTGGGGAGAAGGAGCAATTGAAGTTTTCTGGTGTTTGTGACGCCCGCAGTTTGGTGCAGCGAAGACCTGGTGGGGAGCATGGTGAAACAGAGGAGTCACTGTCAGTCCTTTTGAGTTTTGAGTCAAAGTCTTTACAGACAAAGCCATGTTAGGATATATCAGTTATCCTGTTAGAGCTTTTGTGCCGAATCCACCATTTATGGTCATGCCGCAGCAGGTTGTAGCAGGGAGATTCCAAGATGTGGGAAGTGTGCAGGAGGGCATGGGATAGAGGATTGTGGAGTTTCGTGGATAAAGATGTGTGTGTAGATCTGTGCCAGCACAGAGGGATAGGCCAACGTTTGATATATGCTTCAGTAAGGTTGGCTTCTTAGCATTCATATCAATGTTTATCAACTGTACCACAGAAATGGAATGTAAATCACAGAAAAAAAGATGTTGTGGTGGCAGCTGCAGAGAAGTATTTGGGTATATTTTACTTCAGCAGAGTTACAGGGTGTGTAGGGTTAGTTGAATGGTGGTGTTCGGTCCTCCCAGGCCATTGGAATGGTGCAGGAGCAGATAGGGTCAAAGTAGTGGAATGGGGTAGAGGGTTTTTAATGAGTGTAGGGTTAGTTGGAAGGGTGTTTCTTTTAAAATATATATATATACAGTACCAGTCAAAAGTTTGGACACACCTACTCATTCAAGGGTTTTTCCTTTATTTTTACTATTTTCTACATTGTAGAATAATAGTGAAGACATCAAAACTATGAAATAACACATATGGAATCATTTAGTAACCAAAAATATATTTTTAGTAGCCACCCTTTGCCTTGATGACAGCTTTGCACACTCTTGGCATTCTCTCAACCAGCTTCAGGAGGAATGCTTTTCCAACAGTCTTGAAGGAGTTCCCACATATGCTGAGCACTTGTTGGCTGCTTTTCCTTCCCTCTGCGGTCCAACTCATCCCAAACCATCTCAATTGGATTGAGGTCATCTGATGCAGCACTCCATCACTCTCCTTGGTCACATAGCCCTTACACAGCCTGGAGGTGTGTTTTGGGTCATTGTCCTGTTGGAAAACAAATTATAGTCCCACTAACCGCAAACCAGATGGGATCAATCTGAGGTGCAGTTAACTCTAATTAACTTATCCTCTGCAGCAGAGGTAACTCTGGGTCTTCCTTTCCTGTGGCAGTCCTCATGAGAGCCAGTTTCATCTGCCAATAAAAATAGAAGATTAAAGATGGGCAGTCTGAGATATGGCTCCAGATACTCAACTAGTCTCAAGAAGGCCAGTTTTATTGCTTCTTTAATCAGCACAACAGTTTTCAGCTGTGCTAACATAATTGCAAAAGGGTTTTCTAATGATCAATTAGCCTTTTAAAATGATAAACTTGGATTAGAAAACACAACGTGCCATTGGAACACAGGACTGATGGTTGCTGATAATGGGCCTCTGTCCGCCTATATAGATATTCCATTAAAAATCCGCCGTTTCCAGCTACAATAGCCATTTACAACATTAACAATGTCTACACTGTGTTTCTGATCAATTTGATGTTATTTTAATGGACAAAAAATGTGCTTTTCTTTCGAAAACAAGGACATTTCTAAGTGACCCCAAACTTTTGAACGGTAGTGTATATATATATTGTGTATGAAAGTATAATGAATGTATATTATAGTCCAGTTTGGTGCGTTAATGCCAACCGCTGTTAAACTCAGTAAAAGCGGAAGTAAAAGTTTGACCTATAACGTCATATTTAAACGACGACCGTGAATGTTCGGTTATTTTGTTTCTTATGTAGCTGGATAGCTAGATAGCTAACCAGCTTGTGATATTTTTGGAAAATGGCTGAATCGTTTGAAGAACGTCTCGTAAAAGCAGTCAAAGAGCATACGCACTTGTATGATACCTCAATGCGTTTACATTTCGACAAAGAGGCTCTCGAACACAGTTGGCGCGAAATTGCTACATATTTAAACTCCGATCCAGATACCTGCAGGAAGAAATGGAGACTTGCGAGGGACCGTCATGTGAGAGCACTGAAAAAGTCTAAGGATATGCCAGAGGGTGTACCGAGGCCTGGAATTCTGAGTTGGCTCACCATTTTTATCAAACATCGGCAAACCAACCCAAACTTTCCCGAGGTAGCTAGTTAGCTAAGAAACTGAAAATGTATGGCTACAGTACCTAGTTGCCAGACCTGACTTGTAGACTGGTAATTATCGGTTTTATGAAAGATTATCTAATAATTCGACTGAAGAAACCACTATTTCTGGCACTGGGTTCGCAGTTAAAATGAGTACAATATCAACACCAGCAACAGAGGACGCACATAAATCAGTACGAGATTGCGGAGATTCATGTAAAATGTTGTTGTTGAAAACGTTAAACAATTAGTCATGTGTTTATGGCAATCGGGCCTTAATTAGAATATATATGACAGTGACAATGATTAATTTAGTCATAAAATGAGAAAGTAATGTTTTAATGAATTTGCAACAGCCTTACTGTTAATATCTTCAAGATTTGCAATTACTGCCTCATGTTTTGATTGTTTCTATAGATTTCAGCAAACAGAGTTGAGAGTCCTAATAGCAAACTGGATCAAACTCCCATGTTTTCAGACCAGGCAGGTAAGCCAATAATAGTGTTGTGTAGTTGGCTACAGGTATTGTGTAGTTGGCTACTGACACAATCCTTATGTTTCCATACTGGCTCCTTTTTTATTTTACTGTAGGTCCACGGTTACCTTTATCTTCTTTCCGTCTCCTGGTTCCTCCTCTACGCCTGATGTCAGCTTTCATGTGGCAAGTGGCTCAAGAGCGTAATGTGATGCAGTATGGGAAGCTGGAGGAGTTTGTGACTTTGGTGACAGAGATGGTTCCAGAGCTGCTGAGCTCCAGGCAGAGGACCCAACTCATCCTGGGACTGAGAGCAAGGGTGAGAAGTGGGAGGGTGGAGAAGGAGTAGAGGCATGGATGTAAAGAAAGAATAATTGTCATTGGACTAAGACCCTCATAAAATCTGCTTTCAGATGGTTTTAGAGTTGTTTCGCAATGAAAACCCACCGGAACCCCAGACCATCCAACTTCATTTGGACAGAATCAGAACTTCTTCAGTACATGCTGTGCACGTGGATGTATGTAACTTTCAGTGTCAAAAGTAGTCTGGATGCTGTGGAATAGAGGGAGCTTATATTGTGTTTCTGTTAAAGCTGATTTTATCATTCATTTTACATGCCCAGTCACAGAGTAGAAATGAGTTGGAGGCTTCGGAGTCTAACTTCGTGGAACTTGTCAAAACCCTGTTGGAAGACCCTTCTGAGAAGAAGCACTTCTTCCAGGTGGGAAATATCCTAATAAATCATAGTTGTTGCTTTCAGAGTCAATAGGACAGCATGTTCCAGCAATGTAAAACTCAGTAGTGAAATGTTGCTTGTTTTACTATAACTGATGAAAGACCATACAAAATGAACAACCCATCAAGGTGTTGGCTCGGCCTACTCTTGTTTTATTTCTCTCTCTCTCAGGTGGTGTTCCCAATACGTTACGGCCCTCGGTATGACACAGCACTGCAGATACTGGTGTGGGAGTTCCTCTCCCGGCTGGAGGAGCTGCTGCCTGTACCAGACCTTACAGAGGTACAGGCTCAATATCTTAATAGCATGAAATCTTTAGAGATGGTCAGGCTTGTCATGTTATTTCTTCAGTATCACATGCTTAGGGATGTCACTAACAATTTTAGTAATGACACTGTATAATGTCCAGTCTTTGGGTACAAAGCTACTTGTTCATGACTGTCCTTTTGGTCAACTCAAGTTGAATCCTATATGATTAATGTAGACACACAGGAGAGGAGTGCTTCTTTGATTCAAGACCATGGTGCTTGCCTACGGCGCAGCAAGGGGAACTGCACCTCTTCACCTTCAGGCTATGCTCAAACCCTACATCCCAACCTGAGCACTCCATTCCGCCACCTCTGGTCTCTTGGCCTCACGCCCCTGCTTGAGGGCAGCTCCCGCTCAACCCAGTCAAAGCTCTTCTCTGTCCTGGCACCCCAATGATGCACCCCCCCCACCCCAATTGTATTTTTATTTTTCCACTAGCACTGACTTTGCTGATAAATACTTTGAGGGAAAATATACTTGATACAATTGTGATGTGTTGTTGTCTCACCAAGCTATCTTAAGATGAATGCACTAACTGTAAGGCACTCTGGATAAGAGCGTCTGCTAAATTACTAAAATGTACATTTATAGTTGATGCTGGATAGTAAACAATGCCGTAAAAGCCTTTGTGCAAACACATTTCCAGAAGTAATCAAGGCACTCCTGTAGTGGAAATATTAAAAGCCTTTGTTTTACGGCTTATGCATGGCAGAATATATTTTTTTTTAAACACCCACCTATATGATTAATGTTCTGTGAGCTAGAGCTGCAGAAACCTTTTTAATGTTCCTTTTATCCTCAGACAGCATCTAGTCTCAGCATTGCCCCCTCTGACCTGGAGGAGTTCTGGCATTCTGTCTCTGACCCAGAGCACATGAAGACACTGCTGCAGCATCATAGACATCTGGGACACTTGAGCAAAAGTTAGTCTTAATAAGAGGATATCAACCATGTTAGCCATGTGCTCTTCTGTGAATTAGTTAATTGCATTTTTCCGTTTCCTTTCCTGAGATGAAAATTCTCTCTTCCTTCCTCCAGATAAATTCTCCAACCAGGTCGCAGACAACATCTTGTCCACATTGTCAATTCCTCAAATTCACGGCCTGAAGTCAAGTCTCGATGGACATGAAGGCATGAAAGGGTGCACAGAGGGGTGGAAGATCAACAGTGAGGAAGACCAAGAGGAAGGAGTAGAGTTGCATTGTGAAAATAACTTGGAGGAGGATGATGATGATGGAAGTGAGAGAAATGAAGACCCTGAGAGAGGATTGAAGGATGAAGATGACGCAAACTGGACCTCCCCTCTGAGTGAACCAGAGGACTCGGATGGTAAGGAGATTCATAATGATACAGTCCGTTTCCACCATGTATTTTGAAGTGATTTGTAAAAGCCTGACTTGTTACATTACCTACAGATATTTTTTATGTTTTTTTTTTACGCTCCTTGACTTTCAGTTGAAAAATCAGGAAGTGCTTCACACCACTGTCAAATTTTACACTTAGGATCATGAATTACAGAGGTTGATATCAGTTCCTAATTATAACACCTTAAAACATAGTGGCTGTGTATATTGTTTTGGAGAAGGACATTTTCGTGCTTTTGAGAGCACCGCACTGAAGGCTGTTTCCAACAATGGCCGTCACCGCTAGGGGAACCATTCATTTCAATGGGATGTTGGTTGGCAAGCGACGTTAACTGGAAGATGCTGAAAATTGCTAAATAATTAGCTAATGAACTTAAAAACTGTCTGGATGAATCAACAATATAGCTGTCCCAAAATCACAATAAGTTGGCACTCGGGAGGTCCAGGAATCATTTGGGTCAGGCATCGTTTGCCCTTCGCATATGTTTTATAGAGAGAATCATGGTACCAAACGCTCCAGGATCCGGGTCATATAAGGATATGTTAACGCATCTTCATTTTTGTATGTCTGCTCTCTTGTGCTTTCTGCCTGTAGAACTGGCTAGTGACATGCCCTCCCAGGTCTTCTCCTGCCCCCAGTGCCCATTCTCCCACAGGGAAATGGTGGACCTTCACCAGCACATCAGGAAGGAACATTTAACAGAGGAGGACAGCAGGAGCCTGGACTCTGGAGGAGCTGAGAACTCACTGCCATCCAGTGAAACAGTACAGAGCTCCTCAGCCAAGAGGATCAATAAGAACACCTGCAAACAGTGCGGGAAGGGTTTCAGATGCACAACTGACCTGAAACGACACCAAAGTATTCACACAAGTGTGCAGCCGTTCCGTTGCAACCAGTGTGAGAAGAGATTCAAATCGGAGAGATATCTACAACTGCACAAGAAGAGTCACGACGTTGAACCGATGCACAGGCCTATTTGCCAACACTGTGGCAAGAGTTACACAAGTGCAGCAGTCCTCAAAATACACATACGCACACACACCGGGGAGCGGCCTTACTCCTGCTCAGTCTGTGGGAAGAAGTTCAATCAAAAGCACACATTAGTTAGACACCTCCGGATGCACAAAGGGGATAGACCATACCTGTGTAGCGTATGTGGGAAGGCTTTCTTTGTGTCCGGGGAACTCTTAGTGCACATGCGTTTTCACACAGGGGAACGACCTTACCGTTGTAAACCGTGTGGAAAGGCTTTCAGCACGTCATGCGCTCTCACGTCGCATAAGCGATGGCACTCAAACGAGCGCCCATTCACCTGCTCCCTTTGTTCAAAGGGCTTTGCAGAAACTAGTGGCCTTAAAAGACACATGTTTATTCATACTGAGGAGAAGCCCCATTACTGCCACACGTGTGGGAAAGGATTTAGTCAGTTGAGCAACATGAGAATACATTTGAAAACTCATAAGAAATAATGTCATTGGATCTTTGTCAGACTAAAGTGATTTTTACGCTAGTGTAATGTTTATTGCTCCTTGAGCTCATAAAGCCAAAAGTAAGAAGAAAAAAAAAATGTTTTATAGTTCATGTACATCGTCCTGACAAAGTTTTAGCAATTTATTGACAAAGTAGCCATTCTGTTATTTTTCCCTGGGTAATGTAATTGGTTGTTAAGGAACTTTGTCCACAGACTTCACAATGACATTGAGGTTTTACTTAGTGCACTGCTAACTGTACTGTACTCTGTGAGCACAGTAGGGGTAACATGATGAAAGCATGACACAGTTTGTGTAGGCCGTTCTGTACCTGATGTAATGAAAAAACATTTTGACAGCAACTATGAAGTTGACCCTTGAATAATCAGTCATGTGTTTTGGACCAAGCTCCTGATGTATGCCGGAACAGAGTCCTCCCTTTTCCTAATTCTTCTGCATAGTCACCCGTTGAAGTGTCGTCATCTAAGGAATGTTTTTATTTTCAATCCCTCGGTCAGGCACCCAATTCCCTTCTGCTACATGCTGGGCTGAAGCACATTTGGGTACACTTTTTTTCCCCATTGTAATCAGACCTGGGTTCAAACACTATTTCAAATATCTCAATTACTTTCACCTACGTTGTCCAAGTAAGTATTCAGATGTTTTATTTGAAAAGACAAGTACTTGAATATTTTAATGTATTTGGAAATACACTTGGAAAGTATTTGAAAATACTCAAATACACTCCCGTGCATTTAACCCAGGTATTTGAAATAAGTGTTTGAAAATACTCATACTATTTGGTTTTTACAAATAGCCATTCAAATAACCAAATAGAAGTACTTATTTTGGGCTGTGTATTTGAAAATACACAAATGTATTTTAAATACTGAAATACATTTGAACCCAGGTCTGAATTTAATAAATAATCACTCGTATCGTCTGTGTAATCGTCTGTGGTGACTCAATCATTTGTAAATTAACTAATACTACAGCATGTGTATGATATATGTATATTATTATGTACATGATGCTACATTTATTATCCATCAAACACTTAATAAAAACGTTAGTGTTTTTTTTAAGTGTGGGAAAGGATTTACTTAGATGAGCAACATGAATACATTTGAAAACTTGTAAGAAAAAAGCTAATTGGATGTTTGTCAGACTAAAGTGATTTTTACACTATTGTAATGTGTTTGTATTTCTCCTTGAGCTCAAAAAGCCAAAAGTAAGAAAAATAAAGATTGTATTATAGGTCATGTACACTGAACAAAAATATAAACGCAACAAGTGTTGGTCCCATGTTTCATAAGCTGAAATAAAAGATCCCAGAAATGTTTCATATGCACAAAAACTTATTTCTCTAAAATGTGCACAAATTTGTTTACATCCCTGTTAGTGAGCATTTCAACTTTGCCAAGATAATCCATCCACCTGATAGTTAAAGCATATCAAGAAGCTGATTAAACAGCATGATCATTACACAGGTGCACCTTGTGCTGGGGGCATTTTGTCACACAACACAATGCCAAAGATGTCCACCAGAGCTGTTGCCAGAGAATTTAATGTTCATTAAATTCTAAATATCATTTTCGAGAATTTGGCAGTACATACAACCACAGACCACGTGTATGGCGTCATGTGGGCCAGCGGTTTGCTGAGGTCAACGTTGTGAACAGAGTGGGGGTTATGGTGGAGGTGGGGTTATGCTATGGGCAGGCAGGCATAAGCTACGGACAACGAACGCAATTGCATTTTATTGATGGCAATTTGAATGCACAGAGATACCATAAACGAGATCCTGAGGCCCATTGTTGTGCCATTTATCCGCCACCATCACCTCATGTTTCAGCATCATAATGTCACAAGGATCTGTACACAATTCCTGGAAGCTGAAAATGTTAGTTCTTCCATGGCCTGCATACTCACCAGACATGTCACCCATTGAGCATGTTTGAGATGCTCTGGATCGACGTGTACAATGGCGTGTTCCATTTCCCGCCAATATCCAGCAACTTTGCACAGCCATTGAAGAGGAGTGGGACAACATTCCACAGGCCACAATCAACAGCCTGATTAACTCTATGTGAAGGAGATGTAAAAAATAAAAATAAAATGTGTCACGCTGCATGAGGCAAGTGATGGTCAAACCAGATACTGACTGGTTTTCTGAAACACGCATCTACAGTTGAGGTCGGAAGTTTACATACACCTTAGCCAAATACATTTAAACTCAGTTTTTCACAATTCCTGACATTTAATCCTAGTAAAAATTCCCTGTTTTAGGTCAGTTTATTTTAAGAATGTGAAATGAAAGAATAATAGTAGAGAATGATTTATTTCAGCTTTTATTTATTTAATCACAATCCCAGTGGGTCAGAAGTTTACATACAGTCAATTAGTATTTGGTAGCATTGCCTTTAAATTGTTTAGCTTGGGTCAAACGTTTCGGGTAGCCTTCCACAAGCTTCCCACAATAAGTTGGGTGAATTTTGGCCCATTCCTCCTGACAGAGCTGAGTCAGGTTTGTAGGCCTCCTTGCTCGCACACGCTTTTTCAGTTCTGCCCACAACTTTTCTATAGGATTGAGGTCAGGGCTTTGTGATGGCCACTCCAATACCTTGACTTTGTTGTCCTTAAGCCATTTTGCCACAACTTTGGAAGTATGCTTGGGGTCCATTTGGAAGACCCATTTGCGACCAAGCTTTAACTTCCTGACTGATGTCTTGAGATGTTGCTTCAATATATCCACATAATTTTCCTTCCTCATGATGCCATCTATTTTGTGAAGTGCACCAGTCCCTCCTGCAGCAAAGCACCCCCACAGCATGATGCTGCCACCCCCATGCTTCACGGTTGGGATGGTGTTCTTCGGCTTGCAATCCCCCCTTTTTCCTCCAAACATAACGATGGTCATTATGGCCAAACAGTCCTATTTTTGTTTCATCAGACCAGAGGACATTTCTCCCAAAAGTACGATCTTTATCCCCATGTGGAGTTGCAAACCGTAGTCTGGCTTTTTTATGATGGTTTTCGAGCAGTGGCTTCTTCCTTGCTGAGCGGCCTTTCAGGTTATGTCGATATAGGACTTGTTTTACTGTGGATATAGATACTTTTGTACCTGTTTCCTCCAGCATCTTCACAAAGTCCTTTGCTGTTGTTCTGGGATTGATTTGCACTTTTCGCACCAAAGTACATTCATCTCTAGGAGACAGAACGCGTCTCCTTCCTGAGCGGTATGACGGCTGCGTGGTCCCATGGTGTTTATACTTGCGTACTATTGTTTGTACAGATGAACGTGGTACCTTCAGGGATGAACCAGACTTGTGGAGGTCTACAAATTTTTTTCTGGGGTCTTGGCTGATTTCTTTTGATTTTCCCATGATGTCAAGAGAAGAGGCACTGAGTTTGAAGGTAGGCCTTGAAATACATCCACAGGTACACCTCCAATTGACTCAAATGATGTCAATTAGCCTATCAGAAATTTCTAAAGCCATGACATAATTTTCGGGAATTTTCCATGCTGTTTAATGGCACGGTCAACTTAGTGTATGTAAACTTATGACCCACTGGAATTGTGATACAGTGAATTATAAGTGAAATAATCTGTCTGTAAACAATTGTTGGAAAAATTACTTGTGTCATGCACAAAGTAGATGTCCTAACCGACTTGCCAAAACGATAGTTTGTTAACAAGAAATGTGTGGAGTGGTTGAAAAACTAGTTTTAATGACTCCAGCCTAAGTGTATGTAAACTTCTGACTTCAACTGTACCTTTTTTTTAAAGGTATCTGACCAACAGATGCATATCTGTATTCCCAGTCATGTGAAATCCATAGATTAGGGCCAAATTTATTTATTTCAATTGACTGATTTCCTTATATGAACTGTAACTCAGTACAATCGTTAAAACTGTTGCATGTTGCATTAATATTTTTGTTCAGTATACATTGTCCTGACAAAGCACTGACTTCACAATGACATTGAGGTTTTACTTAGTGCACTGCCAACTGTACTGTACTCTGTGAGCACAGTAGGGGTAACATGATGAAGGCATAGTACCCGAAGTGATGAAAAAAGCTTTGAGACAGCAACTTGACCCTTTTCAATAATCATCAATAATCATTCATGTGTTTTGGAACAAGGTGATAGAACTTGTGTAACCAAAGAAGGGAGGGCCCAAAGGTAATAACTAATCACTCGGTAATCGTCTGTGGTGACTTCATTTGTAATTTAACTAATGCTATGTCGTGTATGAAATACACTCTCCTGCATATGTATTTGGACAGTGAAGCTAAAGAAAAATATTTGGCTCTATATTCCAGCATTTTAGATTTAAAATAGAATGTTTCATATTAGGCGACAGCACATGTATTTTCCTACATATCTGTTTCACTGTTTAGAAATTAAAGCACTTTGTTTATCTAGTCCCCTTATTTGAAGAAGTCATGTTTTTGGTCAAATTCACTGTATTAAAGTAGTCAAAAGTAGTATTTAGTATTTGGTTCCATATTCCTTGCACGCAATGACTACATCATGCTTGTGACTCTACAAACTTGTTGGATGCATTTGCGGTTTGTTTTGATTGTGTTTTGGATTATGTTTTGCCCAATACTAACTGAATGGTGAATAGTGCCTTGTGCTATTTTGGAGTCACTTTTATTGTGAATGTTTCTGAACACTTCTATATTCATGTGGATGCTACCATGATTATGGATAATCATGAATGAATCATGAATAATGATGAGTGAGAAGGTCACAGAGGCACAAAGGTCATTGTGTGCAAGGAATATGGGACCAAATACTAAACTTTTGACTACATTGATGCACTATAGGTGGATTTGTCCAAATACATATGACTTCTTCACATAGGGGGGACTAGATACATGAAGTGCTTTCATTTCTAAACGGTAAAACAGATATAAAGAAAATACCCTCAAATAAAAGATGATATTCTGCATTGTCGCCTCATATGAAACATCCCACTGGGCACACCA